GAATGTAGCTTTGTCCTCTCAACATGACTCTGGCATCGGATCAGTTCAGTGGAAATGAATTAGTTAAACCAGACATGTAGCACACAGGGCACGAAAAGGTAATTTAACTGAATTCTCCCTTCTTGGCCCATTGGGCATTCACCATGAGATATGCTGAGCACCTCCAGACAAAGATTATTAAACCCAAGTCAGGTAACTGTTGTTCTTCATTTCTGGTGCCCCAGATCCTGTTGTGTCCCACATCCCGTTAGGCTGAGTTCTGAGCTGCAACTGGGCTTTGAGTTTGTTTTTCTTTTGTTTTAGAATGACATGTCACATTGACCAGCTGAACACTTGGTATGATATGAAAACTCATCAAGAAGTGACCAGCAGCTGCCTCTTCTCAGAAATCCAGACCACGCTGGGGACTTTCAGTCTGAATGGATTAGAGAGGCTTCTGTGCTTTATGATTGTCAAAGAATTACAGGTGAGCCTTTTGGCTTTTGCACAGGTTTTCTGCTACCCTGGGAGAGACAAAAGTAGATGAGTTAACTGTTCCTTCATGCTTTCTTATACTGACATCAAGCCCATGAATATAATTCTTATTAGGTAGTGAGAGCTGGGAATAAATAAGAATTTCTTTGGCCAGTGTACTATGGCAAGGGGTAGACTGTTTTTATGAGTTTCATCTTAAGACTCTTTGAAACCAACAACTTCTCCTGGCAGGGGATGTTTCTAATAGGAACCAGAATTTGCTTCTTCCCTGTCATCCTATTTGTAGAGTTGTGTCATTTAGACCAGTCTGTGTTCTACATAGCAGTTTAGATAACTGAAGTATTTATTCATTTTATTCATTACGTTTTATTTTCTTGTTCTAGAATTTCCTCAGTATGTTTCAGAAAATCATCCTAAGAGACAGAACTGTGCAGGATACTTTAAAAGCCCTCATGACTGCTGTCATCCCCCTAAAAAGCATTGTAGGTAAGTGTTCTGAAACTAGCCCGAGGTAGAGAGAACACTGTGGCCTTTCCCAATTTACTAAATAGAAAACTGTATTTTACCCTTTCAGCAAATTCAAATAAAATTTATTTTTCTGCCATTGCCAAAACACAGAAGATCTGGACATCTTATCTTGAGGCTATAATGAAGGTATGTTGTGGGAGAGGGTGATCATCAATACTCTATTTTTTAATAATTATTTCCTTATAACTTTGTT